CCGTTCCCTTACCCCCTACCCTCCCCCTCCCCCCTCCCCCCCCACCCCCCCCCCCCCCCTTCACACCACCCCTTCCAACCATGCGGGTCAAGGTCAAGTGGAAGAAGAGCCAGCTCGAGATAGAGGTCGACAGGTCGGCCCCGGTCACAGCCTTCCTGCAGCAGCTACAGACGGTCACGGGCGTCCTCCTCGCCCATCAGAAGGTGCTGGTGCCAGGCGGCCGCCTCCGGGCCGACGCGGTGTGGAGCGACTATCCGCGGATGAAGAATGGGTGCGCGGTGATGCTCTTCGGCTCGCCGTCAGTCGATCCGCGTCTCCAGTCGCACATCTTCACCATGCTTCCCGACGAGCTGCTGCTGGCCATCTTCCGCTTCCTCGACGTCACCTCGCTCGCCCGCGCCCGCCAGGTCTGCATCCGCTTCTGCGCCGTCGCCTCGGACGCTTCGCTCTGGCGCCCGGTCTGCGACGCCGGCGAGTTTCGCCTCGAGCACGTCTTGGATGCCTCCATCCGCGGCGATACCTCCCTCCATCGCTTTCATCGCATGTTCTGCCACAACCTCAACCGCGCAAGGACGTGGGCCGAGGCCGACGTCGATTGCACCCTCCTCGCCTATGGTGACACTGCCCCGCGCACACTCCACACTCTGCAGTTCTCGCCGCTCTTCCTCTGCGCCTCGGAGCGCCGCGCCATCGCTAGCCCCGAGTCGCTCGCCGCGCCCGGCAAGATCCACGTTTGGTCCATGGCCGACGGATCGCCGGTCAGCACCCTCACCGCCACGTCGTCGGCCCTCATCCACTTTCGCTTTGCCCGCTCCACTCTTGTTGCTGGCGCTGCCGACGGCGCTCGCGTCTGGGATCTCGATACCATGGCCTGCCGCGGCTATCTTGCCGCCGGTGACTCCATCGCCGCCGTCGACGTCCTCCCCTCCGCCAACGCGTGCATCCTCGCCCCAACTGCTGCGCCCGGCCTTGCACTCTACGACCTTGAGACCGAGGCTCAGCTCCGCTGCCTTGCACCGGGCCCACTGGCCCGCGAGTGCCTCCGCCCCTCGTGGGCCTTTGTCGACTTTACTGCCCGCACCTCGCGCTCGGCCGTCCCGCTCTGGTCGATGGTCTCACTTCGGCCGCTCGCTCACGCTGCGCCGAGCGAGGCACCAGGGAGCTCGACCGCCGATGCACTGCCACTTCTTGACCTTGACACCATTTCGGGCCCGCTGGCGCACGACCCGCTGCCTGCCGCGACGGGCGAAGACGATTCGGGCTTTGCGCAACCTGTTCCAGCCCCGATCATCTCTCACATCCTACACGACGCCGCTGCCGCCGCCAATCCATTCATGCACTGCTCCGCGGCGTCCGATCACCTCGTCGCCGGCTTCACTCCTTCACAGGCGTACGTCTTTGACATTCGTGCTCCGCTCCCGGTTCGATCCTTTGCTGCAAACAGCGCCGGCCGCAACTCAAAGATCACGCCCAACCTCCACGGCGCACTCTCGGCGTCGGGTCGGTTCACCCTGACCGATCTCGGCACGTCCAAGCCCATTCTCTCCATCCGCCCCGACACAGACATTACCACCCACGCCCAGACTCACGCCATGGACTTTACCGCGGTCCGTGCCGTCTTTGCCTTGGCCACCATGCGCTACCCTGTCGTCTCGGTCGTCGATTTGCAGACCGGTGACCCGATGGCGTTTCTGGACGACCCTGTGCTCATCGACCGTGTGTCAGGGGGAGCCCGCGGAAATGGCGTTTACTTTCCCGGCTCGATGTCGTCGCTTCTGCAGGCCTCGCACGAGCTCGTAGTCTGCGGGCAACGGACCGACGGCGTCTCGATCTGGGCCGCCGGCCTCGCGCCGTTTTGACGCCAGCGTGTCGACCCACATCTAGGTCTGCGGCTCGGGCGCGTCGGGAGCTCCCCGCCGGCGGTACACGGTCTTGGACACCGGCTTGCCGGCAAGCGTAGCATCGACGGCAGCGTCAACGTTGGCGATGACCGCCAACTCGTCAAACGAGCGTACTTCGATGATGAGGTCAAACGGCGAGGTGCCAGTCCGGTTGAGCGTTGACTTGCGCGCAGCACCTGCTGCGGCTGCCTCGCTGCTGGAGAGAATGACGTCCGTGATGCCGCCAAGCAGCGTGTGCTGCGCCTTGTTGGCGGTGAGGTCTGCAAACGTGTTGCCATGCGCGGTGGCGATGACGCACACGCCCCGGGCAGCAGTCGTCGCTGCTGCCGACGCCTCGCCGGAGTCGCGGATCTCGTCGATGACCACAACCTGCGGCGAGTGGTTCTGCACCGTCTCAAGCAGAACCTCCCGCTGCCTCTCACGCCTGGCCACAAACATCCTGCGCGCCAGGCCGAGCGAGGCGTGCGCCACCGTGCCCCATCCGCCGATCTCGCCCGAGGTGTCGACAACAACCACGCCCTTGCGCAGCTCGGCCGAGAGCTCAGCCACCAGATCACGGAGAAGGGTGGTCTTGCCGGAGCACGGCCGGCCGACAAGGAGCACTGAGAGCGACTTGCCCTCGTTCACGGCGCCGAGCACGCCGGTCACCACCGTTGTCTCGAGAAGCCGAGACGATCCGGCGTAATGTCGCCCGAGCCGCAGGGTCATCGTGCTCGGCACCCCGACGTGCTCGGCCTTGGAGATCCGATGCAACGTCGAGTCGATTCCGATCCGCCGATCGGTTGTGTAGCCAGACTGCGACTGTGCCTGCAGCTCCTCGTCGATCCGCTCTAGGTCGCCAGTCGTCACCAGGCTCCCGATAACCGCCTTGCGCCGGCTCGGATATCCGCGCGGTGTCGTGCCAATTGCATCGACAAAAACAAGCTCGGCCTCTGCCCCCGTATCGAGCGCAATCTCAACGACCCCGCTCGTCTCACTCTCCACCGCCTCGACGATCTCCTTACCGAGCTCGGGACACGCGCGGAGGAGCAAGTTAAACAAGATGAGATCCTCAGCCGCGCTCGTCGTCATCTCCACCGGAGCGTCGACCGCGACAATGGTCTCATTCACGTCTGCCGTGGGCATCTTCTCTTTCGCATACTCTTTCGACTTGGCGACAACGTCTGAACTCAGTCCCATGCTTGGTGACCATCTTCTTCACCACGCCTGTTTTCTTCGGCCCTGCTCCAAACTTGTTCTTGAGGCCCTTCCAGTGCGGTGCCAGCAGCGGCAGCTGCGCCACCACCGTTGCTTCAATCTTGCCGCGGTTCTCGACGTGGGTGGCGACAACTTTGACCACAAAGCGGAGAGACTGGGTATCGACCATGACGTGCAAGTTACTCGTGTAGTTCTGCAAAATAGCGACGAGTGTGACTGGTTCCACAGTTCACCTCACAATCGTCCTGCCCCCCGCTTCTGCGCGGCTGTCGCGTAAGTGTGCCATCGGTTCATGGGTTGTGCCCTCGTTTGCGAGGGAGATGTGCCCTCGGTCGACTCAACGATTTTTTTTTGTTTGTTTCGCCGCGTTTGCTACCGCCGCCGGCATACAGCCTAGGCGAGGCGGGGTGAGGCGAGAAGCTGGTCGTCACTACGGTGCAAACCACGCGGCGACGGTCTCAAACACCCAGCTAGCGGCTCCGTTCCGCACCAGCCGCCGCCTGTTGTCAAGATCAAAGTCGAGCTCCTTACCCGGACGCGGCTCCATAAAGTCGCTGCCGTAGGCGAGGGCAAGATACTCTGCTGCGGCGCCGGGAGCCGGGCAGAGCAGATCGATGTCGGGCCCAAGCTCAAAGTGCCGACAGACACAGAGCTCAGCAAAGACGTCCCACGCCCGCCAACCACCGTGCTTTGCCCGAATGCGGGCGTCGTAGGCCGGATCAAGCAGCAAGTCCTCGCTCAGCAACTCGACGTCGACCGACGCCCGGCCGGCCCATAGCACAGGCGTGTCAAAGCCGGTACGGACGAGCCAGCTCCAGGGCCAGCCCGAGGCCAGGGAGATCCGCTCGCGATGGAGCGGCGAGAGCTCGCGGAGGGCAGCAGAGACCATGGCGTTGAAGCAGCCGAGCGACGAGCCACGAGGCATGAGCACATAAACGTCAAGGTCGTCGTCGCCACGAAAGCCCCGATACAGCTCAAGGAGCGAGCCGCGGCGAAAGATGACGACAAGGCCGTGCTGGACGATCAGTTGATGCAGGAGATCGAGCAGCAGCGGGCCGTCGCGGCCCCATTTGTCCGACGAGCGCGGCATTGGCCATACATGTCGGGATGTGGAGGCACTCGGATAGGCACAGACCGGGAGACGCTCCAACTCGACCTTTGTCAGCATGGTGGCGTATCGCTGCGGCGACGACGGGCAGGGTGTCGGGCGATGGAGGAAGAACAAGCCAAGGAGGTTACAGACCAAGCAGAGGCCTATGGCCTTTACCAGCCGTCCGCGCCATACACCCATTCCACACACTATTCACCTCACCCACCGTCTGATGCTGGCAGTGAGTGAGTGCGGTATGGTAAGAGGGGTGGTGCCGGTGGTGCCGGTGGTCGTCGGGCTGCCGCCCCTCCCAGCCCATTCAGCCCATCCAGTCACATCATGCATAGGCAATGTCCACAAATGATATCGTCCCGGCAGTACAAATCCTCCGACACCGATCATGCCCGCGATGATTCCTGTCCCCCTTACCCCCCCCCCCCCCCTTCCCCCGTCACGGCATCTCCTCCACGCACCGCGCACGACTCAAACACAACCACTTTCATCGCCATGATCCCCATCCCTCCAACACCCCGTCCACTACCACTACCCCCCCCTACCCCTACCCCCCTACCCCCCCTACCCCCCCCTCCCCCCCCCCCCCCCGGCCGTGGCCTGTACTTCTACTCCAGGACTGTGTTGTTCTGTCTCTGACGTGTTTGCAAAAACTGGATTCGCCCGCCAATGAAGTTGAGCCAGACCAGGTCGTTGTCTCTCATGGCAACGTGGGTGGTTGGAGTGATCCTCCTGGCTGGGTTTGTGGCACTCGGTGCCATGGCCGCTCCTGACATTCCGCAGTGTACGGCAGAGGTGGATCTTCCATACACGATGGTGGCCATGGAAAACAAGCTTCCAGATGAGACTATTGTTGCTGATGTTGATGGAGACGGGTGGTCGGATGTGGTGTATGTGGGTATGGATGGTGGGTCTGGCGAGCTTGTTGGGTATGTTGCTTGGCATCGGTTCAACAACGAGTCTGGCGCCTTTGACTCGCAGCGGCTAGCGTTTACGCATGCGGGAAGCATAGTGAAGGATGTGGCCGCTGCCGATTGCGACGGTGATGGCGACAAGGACCTTGTCGTGGTTGTTGAGGATGGCAAATCTATCGCGTGGCTCGAGAACATCGACGGGCGTGGTGCGTTTGCTGCCCCGCGCTCTGCTGCTTCTGGTGTCACCGTTGGCACGCATCTTGCTGCAGCTGACGTAGATGGCGACGGGGATGTGGACGTGGTTGTGGCTACCGGCGACGCGCTGTATGCGATGGTCAACACTGATGGCGCGGGCAAGTTTGGCCCGCTCACGGCGATCTCGTCGAGCCTGTCTTCGATCACTGCCTTGGTTGTGGCTGACCTCGACAACGACGGGGACGCCGACCTGGCGACTGCATCTGACGGTGACAACACGATTGCCTGGCACCGCAACAGCGGCACAGGAAGCTACGCGAAAGTGGTGGTGTCATCTGCGGCAGCCGCAGCAAAAGCTGTGGTCGCGGTCGACATCAACGGTGACACTCACGTTGACCTTGCGTCGGCGTCGCAGAACGACAACAAGATTGCATGGTATGCAAACTCGGGCGCGGGCTTGTTTGGAGGCGAGCAGATAGTGTCTACCGGCATCCAGCTTGCGACCAAGCTCGCTGCGACTGACGTGGACGGTGACGGACTGCCCGACCTCGTCGCCGCAGCATCACAGGCCCTGACTCGGCGAGTTGTTTGGTTCCGCAACACGGGTGCTGGCTTTGCCGGAGAAACACCTCTAGAGCCCGGGCTCGAGCCGCAAGCGATGGTTGCCTTTGACTGCGATGGCGACGGTGATGGCGATGTCGTGACTGTTAAGGCGTCTCCAGGCGAGTTAACCGTCCATTTGAACGACGACGGCGCCGGCAGCGCATGGACTAACCGGGTTCTCACGATGTGGAGCCAGCGCAAACAGGCTATTGTGGTGGCAGACCTGGACGCCGACGGCGACCTTGACCTCGCAGTCGCATCGGATGCAGGAACTGCGCTCCTATGGCATGAGAACACTGGCACTGGCGCATTTTCCGAGGCGCGGCTGATCTCTACCAGCTCTGCACTTGCCGCCTCTCTCGCGGTGGCAGACTTTGACGGTGACGGAGGGGCAGACGTGGCGGTGGCATTCAAGGCGGATATGAAGGTGGCATGGCACCGCAACATGGATGGCCGCGGTAACTTTTCGACCGAATTGGTTGTGCAATCAGGGCTAGTCCAGCCTGTGTGGATAGCTGCCGGTGACATTGATGGCGACACGGACGTCGACCTGGTCATGGCGTCCACCGCGGCAACTGTGGTGTGGTTCAACAACACTGACGGCAATGGGGCTTGGTCAGCCGCAAACGTCATTGCTTCCGCGACGGTTAGCAACGCGGTGTACCTTGGCGACATGGACGGCAATGGCGCTGCCGACGTAGTAGTGGCTGGCTTGCCGCTGTTCTGGATGCCTGGACTGGGTAGCGGTGGGTTCAGCGCTATGCGCGAGCTCGACAGTGACACCGAGACATCGGGCGCCGCGTTGGGCGATGTTGACAGCGATGGCGATGTGGACGTAGTGGCCATGCCGGTTAGCGGCATCTGGATTGCGGTGTACGAGAATCTTGGGGCCGGTTTGTTTGGGTCGCGGCTTGTAATTGCGTCGGCGAACTCGCCAGTCGCGGTCGTGCTCGGCGACATCAACGATGATGGCTACATCGACGTGATGACGACGCGAGTGGATGACGTCGTCGTTCACTTTGGCAGCAGCAGCGGTCTGCAGCATTTCACCTCACCGCAGACGCTTGGCTCAGCACAGGATGGGCCCGGCGCGCTGGTTGTAGGCGACCTGAGTGGCGACGGCAGGCTCGATGTCGTGGTTGGCTCACGAAACGACATGCGCATTGTGGTTTACCGCAATATGGAAACTAGACGCAAGCCCATCATGGGGCCTGGGTATACCTCTGGTGCCGATGTGCTGGTGGCGGCAGACTTTGACAACGACGGTGACCTCGACGTGGCCGAAGGCGGCTATAACATGCCATTGGTGTGGCGCCCGAACATTGACGGCTTGGCAAGCTTTGGACAAGGGCGGCAAGTCGAAGGCACAAGCAATGTAGAGGTGCTGGCGGTTGGCGACGTCAATCAAGATGGCAGTGCCGACATTGTGGCAGGGTTTGCCTTCCCGACGCGCCAAGTTGGCTGGTACGATAACGTCGATGGGCTCGGCGGGTTCAGCAGCATCAACGTGGTGACTGGGGCGGGTGCTGTGGGGCACGATCCTGTTTCACTCGTGATTGGCGATGTCAACGCCGACGGCTACGTCGACGTTGTACTGACGACTGCGGGCGGAGGGCAAGTAGTTTGGCTGGCCAACTCCGGAGCGGCTGGCGGACTCTGGCCGATGCAGGTGGTGATGGCATCAGCGCCGCTAGTAGGGGACGCCGTGGTGAGTGACTTTGACGGCGACGGTATCGTTGACGTTGCGGCAGCGGTCCGCGGAACAGGACTCGTCGAGTGGTTTGTCAACAACGGGACCGGGCTGTTGAGCGGCAGACCACCTGCCGCGACCATGGACCAGGTTCAGTTTCTGCACGCGGACGATGTGGATGGCGACAACGATGTGGATCTGGTCTGCAGCTCGTTGAGCGCAGTGGCCTGGCTCGAGAACAGCGACGGAGCCGGAAGCTTTGTCACCCACGTTGTCAGCGCGCCTCTTTCTCCCATCAGCGACATGGCCGTGGGCGATGTCGACGGCGACGGTCGGATTGATATTGTTACCGGAGACGACACAGGCCTGGTTTTCTACATGGGCTCACCGGTGCCGGACGTTTTTGTGGCCAACGTTCAGAGGTACGACACTTCTTTTGTAAGCCTTCTGGCGGCTGATGTCGACGGCGACCTCGCGAAGGAAGTCATGGCTACCGGTGTGTCCGGGGGCGTCTCTGCGCTTCGTCTGGCGTCACGGACAGCACTGGTCAAGTTCAGGCCGCGGACGCTAAGCGGAAGCGATGGCACAAGTACGTGCGCAACAGCGCCGTTCTCACTGTCGTGTTTGTCTGCACGAGTGAGGGGTGCTTCCAAGTGCGTGACTGACACAATTGTTCTTGCACCTGGACGCTACTCGTGCAGCTCGACCGGCCATGCGATGCTCACGAGGAGTGTGTTGATCAGCGGACCCGCGCAAGGCGATGTCCACTTTGAGTGCGAGGGCGGGGTCTTGTTTGATGTGGCGCCACCCGGCGCCTTGGAGCTTGCCAACATGACTATTTCTGGCCTCGGGACAGTCAACTCGCTGGCCACCGGCGCGCCGGGTCTCCGAGTTGTTGGAGCCGGGGCGCGACTGGTGCTGCGGGAGGTTGAGATCCGAGACGCAGAGTCACGCCGGGAGCTGACCTCGGTTGCCACCTATGCTGGGCTCGGCGGAGCACTGCTTGTCCTCGACGGCGGAGTAGTCGAGGGCCACAACGTGACGATGGCAAGGTGCTCGGCATTCGACGCTGGTGGCGCGGTGTACGCGTCTGGGGCCGGCAGCCGGATCAGCCTTGTTGCCTCCCGCATCGTGAACTCGTTTGCGGGGTGGAGGGCGGCGGGATGGCACTCGCCAACGGAGCAAGGCTGGAGCTGGAGCGATGTGAGCTGAGCGGCAACTCGGCATCGCTGGGCTCTGGCGGCGGGTTGGCAATTGGAAGTGGAGCGACGGTCAATGTGGTGGCAACTACGATTGCAAACAATGTCGCCAGCCGCGGACTCGGTGGCGGCATGCTGTTGCGGGGCGGCGGAAATGGCAGTGAGCTGATGAGGTGCGAGCTGATAGGCAACAGGGCCCGTGTTGGCGGCGGCCTTGCGATCATCGAAAACGGGCTTGACGGGCATGTTCTGGTTGACGCAGTGCAGGACGCGACGCCCGCGCCTCCTGTGTCGAGCGGGAAGATTGAGCTCGTGATGCACGACACGACGCTTGCGGAGAACGAGGGGTCGGTGGCGGGTGGTGGGCTGGCGGTGTGCGGGGCGTTGTTGTCGATCCGCGGAAGCGCAAGCACATGGTCGCGCAACTCGCTGGCATACCCGTCAGCAGAAAAGTCATCGGCAGACGGGTTCTTGTGCACACCAGCCGGGGCGAGCCTCCCGCTGTCATCGACGCCGTGGCTGGTGGAGGACGGGCCTGGAATGACGGACCGTGGGCGAGTCAACGGGCCGCCAATGGCGCTTGAGTGGGCAGAGGCGCCAGGAGCGCTGACTCAGCTTGGCGACGTCGTATCAGGCTCGTTTGTGGTGCGGGATGTGCTCGGCAAAGTGGTTTCGTACGCCAACGTGGTCGTGGAGGTGGAGTTGTCGGGCGCCGGACTTGTGATGTCGTCGGCAACAAGCGATGTTGCGACGGGCGGAGGGGTGACTGCCGTGTCGACGACACCGCTGCGGCTTGCGGCCGGCGCATCTCTGGGGAGTGTTGGAGTCGAAGTGCGGCTTGCTGGGCGCGGCGAGTCGTTGGACGGTACACCGCTCTCTGTGGCGCCACTGAGTGGCGCGAGTGATGTTGCAGCATGTGGGGTGGGATTTGGATTCCGCGAGGTGATGGTGGTGATCGACGGCGACACTGTGGATGCAGGCGAGTGCGGGCGATGCGGGCCCGGCACGTATTCGGAGGTGACGTCTTTGGAGGCGTGCCGAGTCGAGCGCGAGTGCAATGAGTTTTCGCTAGATGTCCGTGGCAAGTTCAACGCGAGCTCTGCGGTATGCGTGTGCCAGGCCGGATACACGTTGGCGGGTCGGGACGATGACGAGTATGCCGTGTGCGTGGCTTGCCCGACTGGTGCGATCTGCGCGATGGGAACTGGGGAACCAGTGCCCGCACCCGGCTACTTTGCCGAAGACACCGAAGGTGGAGTTGTGTTTCTGCGGTGCAAGCGGCAGTCTGGATGTGCTGGCGGCTCGCTGTCGACGCAGTGTGCGCGCGGTTACAGTGGATATCTTTGTAGCAACTGCGAGGCCGGGTACTTTTCCAACTCGCGATCCGAGTGCGTCGAGTGTCCGAGTGCGTCTGGCGCGGTGCTTGCGGCGACTCTTGTCTCGCTTGTGCTTGGCTCTCTGCTGGCGGCGATGGCGATTGGCGCGGGTGTGGCGCGAGCGCAAGCGGCGAAGAGGTCTGCCGATGGAGGAGTGGTGGCACTCCGCAGTAGCGTGCTACCGGCAAGCACGTCGATGGTGGTGGTGACGTGCCAGGTGCTGGGTATGTTTGCCGAGGCGCAGTTTGAGTGGAGTGCGTCGTCGCGGGCGGCGCTGGGCGTGTTCCGTGCGGCCAACATTGATGTCAACTTGTTTGCGTCCGAGTGCTCGCTCTCGTCGTTCCACGCCAAGTATGTGATGAGTGTGGCAGTTCCACTGGTGGTCGTGTTTGGCGCGGTGTGCGGGCTGGTGGCGTTCAAGTGGGTAGGCCCGGTTATGCCGCTGCCGTTTGGACTCGGCGAGCTGCGGACGATGCCGGTTGCCACGCTAGTTGACGCCGGGCTGTTTACGATGGCGCCGCTGTTGTACATTCCGGTGGCGCGAGCGGTGCTTGTGCTGTTTGACTGCACATCAATGCCGAATGGGCGGTATGTGATCGATGTGGATCCAAGCGTGGCGTGCTTTGACGGGCGGTGGTTCGGAGTGTTGTCGGTAGGCGTGTTGGCACTGGTCGGGTATGTGATTGGAGTACCGGGGTACTTTTTGTGGTGCCTCATGCGGTGCTCGTCGAATCTACTGGAGCCGAGCACGTTTGCGCGGTACGGCGGCCTGTACAAGCTCTTCCGAGTGGCGTACTACTGGGGCGGAGTGGCGGAGCTGGGCAAGCGGCTTGTGATTGTGGGCATTTCCGTGTTTGCATCCGACCAGCAGCTGCTGCAGATTGGGCTGCTCCTTGTGGTTCTCCTGAGCTCTTCGTATGCAGTGCAGTCGCTGCAGCCATACTACCTCCCACTGTACAACGCGATCGATTTTCGGTTGACTGTGGTGCTGGTGGCGATGCTCGTGCTCGGCACGTTTTCGTACGCTGAGCGCGGGGGTGGCGGCAGCGCGGAGACTGCGATCTCTGTGTTTGTGGTGGCCGGACTGGTGGTCTTTGCAGCAGTTGCCGTCCACGCCATTGTGGCCGACATCCTGCACATTATGGCGTGTCGGCGCGATCGGCAGCACCCGTCGAGCCGACGGGCGGCGCGGATGGCGGCCATGCTCGAGCGCGAGACGGCGGACATGGATCGCACCGGCGTTGACGCCGAGCGCGTCATTGCACTCGAAGCCGCAATGGGCGCGCTCCAGCACAGCGGGTCGCGAGGCGGCAAGGGAGACGAAATCGAGATGGATCCGCTTGTGGCAACAGCAGTGTGACGGCCTGGCGCGGCGGTAAATGGGGGGCAACGACGGGCGTGACTTTGGAGCGGTGAAAGCGACCAGGTCAGGCAGGCGAGGCGGTGAGGAAGTGAGGGTATGACTTGACTTTGGAGCAAAGACAAGAATGTTTGTTGCGCGTACCGCCATTGCTGCCGCCCGTGCTGGAGCTGGACCGTCTGTGGGCGTTGTGGGAGCGTCTGTGGTGGGAGGGGTGAGCCGCCCGCTGGTGGCCACCCTCTTCTCGGCTGCCCAGTCGTCCTACGAGCACATTGTGGCCTCGGTGGAGCGGGAGGGGACTGTGTATGTTGGGGTGTGGGGGTAGAGGGGGGGTGGTGGGGGGTGGGTGGGTTGGTGGTGGGGTGGTGGTGGTGGTGGTAGGGGTTGGTGTGTGTGTGTGTGTGTGTGTGTGTGTGTGTGTGTGTGTGTGTGTGACTCATGTGTGGCTGTTGTCTGGCTGATATCTGGCTATGGCCGTGATCTTGGCTGTGCCTGTGCCTGTGGCCATGACTTTGGCTATGGCCGTGACCTTGGCTGTGCCTGTGCCTGTGGCCGTGGTCTCTGGGCTGTGGATGGACTATGACTGGTCTCTGGTCGTGACTCTGCTGGACTGAGCTGGGCTGGGACAGTGGCCTCGTCCGCCTTAACCGGCCCAAGGCTCTCAACGCGCTCTGCTCGCCGCTGTTTGAGGAGCTCAATGAGGCGCTCGCCAACTTTGATGCGGACCCGAAGATCGGCGCCATGGTGGTGACCGGGTCGGACAAGGCCTTTGCTGCTGGCGCCGACATCTCGGAGATGGCCGACAAGGAGTTTGCGGGCGTGTTTGCCGGCAAGTTCCTCTCGTCGTGGGACGCCATCACCAAGCTGACCAAGCCGGTCATTGCCGCCGTCAACGGCTTTGCGCTCGGCGGTGGGTGCGAGCTCGCCATGATGTGCGACTTTATTATCGCCGGCGACAAGGCTCAGTTTGGCCAGCCGGAGATCAAGCTCGGCACCATCCCCGGCGCCGGCGGCACCCAGCGCCTGACCAAGGCCATCGGCAAGTCGAAGGCCATGGACCTCTGCCTCACGGGCGACTTTATGGACGTCCATGAGGCCAAGTCGTACGGCCTCGTCGCCCGCATTGTGCCCGCCGACGAGCTTGTCGACTCCTCGCTCGACACTGCCGCCAAGATCGCCGGCTACTCGCAGATTGCCAACGCCATGGTGAGGCTGTCAACGCCTCGTTCGAGACCACACTCGCCGAGGGCCTGCACATGGAGAAGCGCCTCTTCCACGCCACCTTTGCCACCGCCGACCAGAAGGAGGGCATGAAGGCGTTCCTCGAGAAGCGTAAGGCCGAGTTCAAGCACCAGTAGAGTGTTAAACTGCGAGGAGCTCGCGTCGGGCCCCTCGATCGTACAGCAGGCCATTGCAGGCGGTGACCTGCTGTGAGTGGACAGCGTACTCGCGCGGCAGCCACAGGCTGCAAAAACAACGTTCACTCCATGGCTACTTGCGGCACTGGTCCTGCTGGCGAGCGCGCCGGCGGGCAGCAAGCGCCTTGCGCTGAGCCGCACGCCTCTTCGCCGCGCTCTGGGCGCGGAGACGGTTGCGGTTGGCTCTCAGCTTCTTCGCACGCTCGATCTGGCGACGACGCCGGGCATCCGTGAGCTTCTTGTTCGCCTCGATCTTCTTCAGGAGGGCGCTCTTACGAGCCGCACTGTCAGCCTTTGTCACCGTGCAGTAGCAGTACGTGACAGGCGTCGTGTCGCCCCAATGGAGCGGGTTGTACAGGAACTGGCCCTTGTTGTCGCGGATCGCCATGCGGTACCCGGTGAACGTCCGCCACACCGTCATGCGGTGGCCGCTCGGGCACTCGGCCGTCGACGACGACAGCGCCTGGGCGAGAGCCGCCGACGCCCGGTTCGCGATGGCGCGTGCGTAGCTGGCCCGCTGGGAATAGCCGCGCCGCTCGTAGATTGTGGCGTAGCGGGCAACTGATGACTTGATGAGGAGATGCAGGTTGTTGTTGAGGTCGTTCTGCGGGCGGTTGTTCTGATCAACGGCACCGTTGACCGGGCACACAACAAGGGTGCGGGGCCGGACCCGCATCGGCTTGACTGACGCGTACGTCGTCTTTGCTGCGTTCGGCGAGTACACCGTCACTCCACGCGGCCGCAGCACGCCGCTGCCCTGCATCAGGCCGCGCACGTAGCAGACTCGGCGAGTGCAGCGCCCCGTCAGA